TACATATTTATATATAGATATGGATATAGTTATAGATATGTTGACATTGACTATACATTTCTGGAGGTTATTGCAAACATCTGTGCAGGTCTCATGCATGCTTGCATGCATATTTTTACACATATCTGTTTCTACATATGATTTTCTTTCTCCGTGCACATATACATGCCCATCGAACCCCCATGGAATTCCTTTTGGAATCTTATGTTTTTTCATCCAATGTACGTTATATTTTGTCTTTGTGTAGTACGTTTGCACACGTACGGATGGATGACGAACAATCTTTCCATTCAATGGCGGTCCCCAGTCCGGACGATTTCCCACGAATATCTTCTCGTTTAATGTGATCCATACTGTTGTACTAAGCTTGCAGTGATCACAGGTATATTACTAATCATCATACATACACATATAAACATAGTGCGTCAAGGGCATCTTTGTTCACGATCAATCCTTGCCTACATCTACAATCCTTTTTCATACCTACACAGGGGGTGCACCGGTATCAGAACCGCGGAGCCTGCGGAGGACCTCAGCCGAGAGCGTGGTCCCAGCACCCAGCGACACACCGGACAGAACACTGAGCCCCAGCATCAGCGCAACAGGCCAAGCCACCAACCCTCGAAGCCCGAAACCGGTTGTACGCGTAACATCGCCCGTGGCGCATCCAGCCACGGCTAAGCATAAGAATACATGCTCTGCGGATAGTACCACAGCCACTCATGGCACAGCCCAACCCGTGCTTACTGAGGCGGGGTCGGATTCCCCGGGGGCTCGGGGGCGCGTCACGGCCCAGTGTGACGGTCAACCTGCCGATGGGAGGTGCACGACTCTTCAAGACGAGATATATAGCACAGCCGCCGCGGGGGGTTCTGCTGCTGGGGCGGGCACCAGCATGCGCTGTGATAGCACCCACAGCAGTCCCGGTATGAGGTCCCGCAATAGCCCTGGGGGGAGTACACACAGTAGCCTTGGCGTCCGTGGCCGGACCTGCCCCAACTCCCAGGGGCCGGGCGTTGTGCCTAAAGTGCGGAAGAAGCCACAGCAGCCGAGGCTGCGTGCTCAGTCCTTCCATGGATCGCCCGACAGAGATTTGGACTACGCCGATCTCTATGACACCAGACGCGCCTCTCCGGGTCACACGCACTGCACAGTGGCTGTGGATGGCCTACGAGTGGGGCGCAGTCCGGACCGAGGCCAAAACAGGTCCCAGGGAATGGGTGGGGGTGCATCTGTATCACCTAGTGCAAAGCCGGCCACGGGCACAATCACCGAAGCACCTGTGCTCACGCAGAACGGGCGAACTGCGCCTGTACCTGTGTCGGTGACGAGAAGTATGGAGGACAGGCGGAGGAAGAAAGCATTCAGCGTATCGGGGCGCGAAGGTACGTGTTTGTTGATTGATGAGCGATAGACATATGGACCAGAGGGTGGCATCACTTGGCGTCGATTGGGACCTTCTTTTTGTATTTGTAACATGCCGGGTGTGCTTAGTTGTATGGGATCACACACGGGCGAGAGTGAGGTTATATACACTTGATGTTGATTATACTACGGCATCACCTATAAATACACATATGACGTGTTTGTACCCAACTTCTCTATCCCTTTCGCGGTGCTCACACCATGTACTATGTTCAAGCACAGCATCCCCTTCGCACTCATACTGCCTTGCCCATACCCATACCACCCCAGCTTGTTCGGAAGAGTCGTCGGACCTAGTCCCGGATTTCCTGAAAGTGCGCGCGGGCATAGATCTCGCCTCGATGCTGAAAATGACACCCCCTTGTGAGCGCAGGATCAGTTCCATAACAAAAGGACTACAAAGCAGATCCTCATTCACCTCTGCTTCGAGTACAGACTCCCATTGTGGTAGGTAACCCCGGGAAGTGGCTATTCAGGGCCGGTATCGTCCGGATTTGACGGACGGTGTTGGGATTTGGGCCTTAGTATGGGACCTTTTGTGAGCAGGCATTGATTGGATTGCGTTAAATGAGGTCACTATCTAGTCGTTTGTGGTGGGCGATGGTATACCACATACGACATCCCACGTGGCATTTGAGCATTTCATTTACGACACGTGAGACATCCCACATGACACTTGAGTAGTTAATTTACGACACATAAGACATCTTGTTTTACATCACTTAAGACATCCCACATGACACCTGAGTATTCAATTTACGACACTTGAGACATCCCACATGACACTTGAGTATTTAGTTTACGACACATACGACATCCCACATGATACTTAAGTATTTAATTTACGACACATAAGGCATCCCACATGGCACTTGAGTATTTGATTTACGACACATAAGACATACATGACACTTGAGTATCTAATTTATGACACATAAGATATCCACATGGCACTTGAGTATTTAATTTACGACCATCCCACACGACACTTGAGAATATAATATAATTTGCGACTCGTACAATTGGTGTCTTGACCGCGCAGATACGGGCGCAAATACGGGTGCAAATAGCGGAAGCGGAGTCAATTTGGAGAACGATCCGACTAAGCTAACAGTGGCATATCCATCATCTCCCAATCCCACGGACGGCTTTGTTTTCAGTCCAAGTACAAAGGAGCAGCGAGGCTCCACAGCCGCCAAAGGATCGGTATGAAACGGGTGATAACTAAATTCAACCTTTTTCTTGTATTTTTTTAAATACACACGGACACACACACAAACCTATGTACATACATACACATACCCACCCCCCCCCCCC